AAAGGTTACGATTTCTCCTAGGTCTCACCAGCATGCCTGGCTAACGCATCAAGTAGAAATGAAACAGGATGGATGCAACTTAGGCAAATCGGATGAATTGTTTTAAACAAAGCAGGCTTGAATGAAATAATGATTATAGTATCAAAAAAATATACTCGGGAGGAATAGATCTTGATTACAGTGGGAAATAGAGGCCAACCATATCAACAACAGTCTTATTAAGGCATTTAGAATTGGAAAATGCCTGAATTATGTTAAGAACCAAATCTGCACTGTGACCCGTATGCACTGCACTTTTGACAGTGCAGCTTGATGCACACGGTCGTTACATACCTCGTTAAGTGTGTAAATGGGAACAAGGCGAGGTCCTGAGGTTCACCGTGGATAAGAAATCCTTTTTTAAACAAGGCTAAGCAAAATTATCTTACGTCGTGTGGCTTGCAGTAGAAAATTCGTCTATCAATCATCGCATCACCTTAAATAAGATATAGCAATTATATAAAAAAATAAGGAAAACAATTATAAATGAGAAAATTAATGGTTGTAGCGGCATGAAATTAGGTTTCTTAGTTGTGTTTTTGTAGTCATTGCATTGTAGGATAAAATTTTTTTAATAGGTCTGATATCGAAAACAAATGGGCGACTAGACTAGTAATATGGAGAGAATAAAGCAACTCACCGGGTCATGCACATGACAGCAAATGCCACACGAGACTTCTGTCCACCTGAAAGACTGCCTATAGGTTGCATGGCTAGCAGGTCGGTGATACCGAAGGAGGCCAATTGAGAGCGGTATACCTGTTGTGTTTCACCTGTTAGAGAAAAATAATTAATCAGAAAGAAAAGTAGTGAATCGTTACTTAGCGAGATTAAAAACAAAATTAGGTGTTAAATAGATATAATGCAAGTATTCCCCTTAAATATGAATTCATTCAGCATTTAATTTGTTAGACGATCCAAGTGTGCTGAATTTTAAAGTGGAAATAGACTAAGATTAAGATAGGACATATGTAATGCAAAAAGCAATATAGGATTGTATATGGGAAAAAACGAGATGTACAAAAGTAATACATACGACTGTGATTGTTGCCATCCAGTTTGAAATAAAAGATTGT